GTGTGTGTGTGTGTGTGTGTGTGTGTGTGTATCTATATCTATATCTATATCTATATCTATATCTATATCTATCTATCTATCTATCTATCTATCTATCTATCTATCTATATATATATATATAAGAACACATTGAAAGCGACAATACCACATGCAGGGAGATGATCGTAAGTGATTTATTCGGACTCCCATTACGATGTCTGTGTTTCCATTGTAAGGGAAGTCTTTTCATATAAAGTGTCAAGTCTCCTCTCTCCTGGTCTTGGCAAAAAGGCTACTGTGTGTATCCCCTACTCTTCACAAAGCTATTTTTCTCAAGAGAAAGCACTGTTCCTTCTCCAGCCATTCCTGTTCACTCTTCTCTTGATGCTCCCAACCCTACTTTAAGACCCAACAGACCCCTCTTCCCGTACAGCTTCTACCTGGATTCTGAAATCTGGCTCTGCATTCTTGACTTTCTTGATTGTGGAACAGCATAATGACAGAAAGGTGTCACTAGCAGCCAGACTCCTTGAATTATTTTTTTCTTCTTTCGGGGAACGTACCTCCTGTTCCTTCAGCTCTTTCCTCCACACCAGGCTGCCTGAGTCAGAGGACAAGATGCACTCAGCCTCCCCACCACCACCCCTGCAACCTGCATTGCAGGCAAAAACTGAGGTTGTTCCAGCTGCATATGAACTGGTCTCCTGAACCCTTTAAAGCAAGCCACAGAAAGTTATTAGTTTAAGTTCATGAAGGCGTTAAGAAGCCATAACCCTAAACTTTTCATGCTAGCTACAGAAGATGATGGGAAGCGTAGGCTGCTTCTAAAAATGCTTTCTACTAATGGGACTGGCAGTGGACAGATGGCTAGTAATCAATTCAGGTGGTATGTATGGCATGTCATTTCTGAACCATCACCATCCAAACTGAGCCCTGCGTCACAGTGGTTAAACTGTAGTACTTCAGTCAAGCCTCTGCTCAAGACCTGAGTTCAATCCCAGTCGGATTCAGGTAGCCAGCTCAAGGTTGACTCAGCCTTCCAAGATCGGTAAATTGAATTATCCAGCTTCCTGGAGGGCAAGTTGTTGTTTGCATAATCATGTTGTAAACCACCCAGAGAGTGCTCTAGTGCAGGAGTCCTCAATCCCCAGTCCATGGCCTGTGCCTGTCTGTGGCCTGAGCCAGACCAGGCTGCGGAGAGAGACCTTCCCCCAACCCCCCACACACTCCCCCCCCATTTGTGGCTGTGCGTGAGCACAAAAGCACCCACATGAGCGCTGTGCCACTCTTTGTGCATGTGCACGAGCACTGTGCCACCCTTTATGCATGTGTGCACGTGCACTTGGACAGAAACACACGTGCTCTTGAGCGCATGTGCACGAGTGCAGGGGTGCCCCGCCTTCCCCAGCCAGTCCGCGAGGCTAAAAAGGTTGGGGACCGCTGATCTAGCACTATGGGATGATATATAAGTTGAAACAACACCAACAAATATTAAGAATTCCCTGCAAAGAAAATAAAATTAAGCACTCAAGGGAGAAAGTTCTTGACCCACCTACTTCCAGATGTGATAATTTGTGTCTGGAAAAGAAAGGTTTAGGAGAAACGTATGCAGATGTATGGGTGTAGTGCACAGAGTGTATACCTTGAAAGGCCTTGATTCAAATCCCCACTTGGTCATGAAGCTCACTGGATGATCCTGAGCCAGTCACATTTTCTCAGCCTGACCTACCTCTCAGTGCTGTTGCAAAGATAACATGGGGACAGGGAGAACCCTGTGAGTCACCTTGTGCTCGTTGGAGGAAAGGCAAGATGCAAATGTAACGAATAATAGGCTGAACTGGCCAAAATTCTTTGTATCCAGAAACAGCCCAAGAAAAGGCCAACTAACCTTGTGAATTTGCACATGGTCGCTGCCTGGAACTTCCATGCCAAGACTAGCACTTTGAATTCGGTGGGATCAACACAGAGGTCATTGCAAAAGCGCTCCATGCCTTCCTCCAATATGGCATCTTCTCGTTCGTCTTTGTACCTCCTAAATAATTCCTCAGTCCGGTGGAGGGACGACTCCTCCGTGCCAGAGACCGGCTCTTTCTTCATATCCCCAGAGGCGGTAGGAGGCTGACTCGATTCCACCGCACCCTCCATCTTATTTTTCCCATTGACAAGGATGTCCCCAGAAGATTTCCCACTGCCGGCAGTGCCAGGCTCTTCCTTTGGTATCACGTTCCGCTTGCCGTGAGCCTTGCCACTTGGGTCTCGGTCACCATTTTTGCTGCCAAGAGTGGAAGAAGGGTTCTTGCACTTGGTGACACACTGGCCCATATTGTGTTGCACACCCGGCCGTTAGAGCAGGCCCCTCGCCGTCACACCCCCACTCCGCTGCCGCTCAGTGGGCCTCAACATGCCATCAGGGACAGTCCAGCAACCTACGGGAAAAGAGGTGGGAGGGAAGCAAACAAACTATGAGAAGCTAATCAGCCATACAGAAACCACCAAACATTTCTGTCTGCATTTATACATGACAATGTTGCTTTTAAATGACATATGTGCCACAGCAAGTGTTGCCTTCAAGAGGCATTTCCTCCTTTCTTAGAATTAATAAGGAACATTGCCATCTGCAGTTCTTTTACTCCCCATCTAGATTAGAAACAGCCAATTTGGAAAGAAAATACGCTCCTGACTAGGGATCTCTGTATACAAGAACTTCCTCAACCCGCTGCTTTCCAGTTGTGCTGGATTACAAACCTATCATCCCCAGCCAGCATGACAATGAGACATGTATGAGCCTGGACAATTCATATGGTGCCGGATTGGGGAAGATGAGCTTATTGTGAACCAAAGGTTTGAACCAGTGAATATGACCACAGCAACTGACTATACATGGCAGGCCTACTTCCAAGCATTCTAAGTTGCTTCACACACATTACCCAATTGCAACGGAATTCAAAAACTTTGTAAGGTAGGTCACCATGAAGGTTACCTCCATATAGCAGATGCAGGTGGGCAGGGGGACTGAGGTAGAGAAAAAGTGGCTTAACTTAGTCAAGTTCCCCTAGCCAACATTCTGCTGAACCTCTTAAGCCCTAATGTTGCACCATCTCCCCTTTAATTTCGACACATTCAAGGAACGCCACGCACCAGCCTGCTTCTCCCAACAACCTCAGCAGGATCTCATACAATGGATGTCCTAGGAATGAGCAAGTTCTTCACAGCATGTGGGGCAAACCGGACACATTTCGCATGGCTGTACTGCAGAGCCAGCAATGAATTGAAGACTCCTTTGCTGTCAGAGACTGAGTTCTGTAGCTGTCCAAGAGCTGTACCTTAGTATTGCATGGAAGGAACACAGGAAGCCGCCTTGCACTGGATTAGGTGACCTAGCCCAGTACAGTCTATTCTAACTGGCGGTGGCTCTCCAGTGTCTCCAACAAGAGGTCTTCCCCATCAATGGGAGCCTGATCTAGTTATCTACAGAAACCAGGGATTGAATCTGGATCTGGGATAGGCAGGTCCTGGAGGCTTGGTTTTTACCAACAGTACTTACCATGGGCCGTGCCAGCCCCAGAAAAGGCCACAAAAACAGAAACAAAACTAGAAGAACCTAAAAGGCCACATCTGGTCTTGCACTTTGGGTTGAGCACCCTATAACACAAACTACCACTCTTGGAGGAGGACTATAGAAGTGAAAAAATATACTCTTGTCCCTGAGAAATTTTAACACAAAGAAAAATGGACCTAGGAGGCTGCGTGCAATACAGAAGCTGCATTTAGCTGGCCTATCTTTATGTAATGGAGTTGTTCTACCACTGCTAACGGTAGAAAACCACTGTAGTGTTTTCTTACAGTGTCAACAGCTTTCCCAAAGGGTACAAATTGCTTCCAGAATTCTGGAATAACTTACTGGATCATTACGCTGCTTAGGCAGCAACTTTAAATATACCACTGCTATAAGCAACGGAACTTGCAAATATTAGTGTTAGCACTATAGCAAAACTGCTAAGGAAAGTCTGTTCCAATTTATGGTGATCCTATGAATTAGCTAGCTCCAGAAAATCCTATTGTCAATTGTCGTGCTCAGCTTTTGCAAACTCAAGGTCATGGCTCCCTTTATTGAGTCAATCTACCTCTTCTCTACTCCTATTGTCTTCAACTTTTCCCAGCATTATTGTCTTTTCCTGTAAATTTTGCCTAGATCAGTGGTTCCCAACTTTGGGTAACCCAGGTGTTCTTGGACTGCAGCTTTCATCACCAGCTGTGCTGACTGGGATTTCTGGAAACTGCAATCCAAGCACCCTGGATTATCCAAGGTTAGGAATCACTGATCAAGATCACAACTGCTGGGATAAGTCCAATCCAAGCACCCTGGATTATCCAAGGTTGGGAATCACTGACCAAGATCACAACTGCTGGGATAAGTCCATCAGTGTAAATCTCAACAGAAAACTACTACAGCATAAGAAGTCAGCACAGGTATTTGCTATCACAGACTAGTCATGTGATTTGGCAGATGCACCAGCAAATGCCTATGCTGACTTCTTAATTTACTAATGAAATGTATATTGATGGACATACGCTAGTGTAATTTTTCAACTGAATTCCAGGAATTAATATGGGGGAGGTTAGTGATGTTGGTATTTAACAATTAACATACAGAATATTGGTATAATTGCTGAATTTTAACAAATTAGAGACAGCAAACTAATTTTTACACATTACTTTGACATTCTGTAAGGGCAGGCATATTGTTTATACAGTTCATGCTGCCTTGCACTTGGTGACACGCTGGCCCATACTGTGTTGCACACCCAGCTGTTAAGAGCAGTCCCCCGGCCACTCAGCGCTGCTCAGTTGGGCCTCAACATGCCATCAGGGACAGTCAACCAACCAAGGTTTGTTTTTGATGCTGCTTTTGATTGCCATTTTTCAGTGTGGTATTTGTTTAATCTTTTCAGTATTTGTATAGTTACTGTTTTTAGCATTAAATATTGTATTTTAATTATGTAAGCTGCCTTGGGTCCTTTTAAAGGAGAAAGGCAAAGTAAAATATATTAAATAAATAAAATAATAGTATTTTTAATCTATCCTGAAAAGAATAAGGACAGATTCAGTGTTGCTCAGCTATTGTAGGTTAAAGGAAGAAATTCTCTACAGATGG